CCTTTTCAAAATTTGTCATCTCTACTTCAAAAGATATGATTGTAGTTGTCGAGAATGTTGTTATGCACAGTAATGTTATTTTCATTTTTATTATTTTAGTTTATTTTGTTCTGTTCAGAATTACAGAGATAAGAAGAAATAAGAGATGAAGTAAAGTTTCTGAAGCATCACTCTCTACATATTTACCATTCGAAAATGGATATGCTGCTTTTGTTCAGTTTTATAAATCTATGGATCAGTTCATGAGGAGAAAAACTACAAAATAGGATTTCTCGAGATTTAATAGATTAAATTTAGGTCGTGATTCCTTCAGAAAATAGTTTACTGCATACTTGAAGACAATTTTATGAATTATTACGTATTTAACGTCAGTTGCGGAATTCTGAGAATGTTAATCTTTTTTTGAGATAGTGGTTGAATTAGTGATCGTGACTACTTGAAATATGTATCTCCATGCAGCTACGAAGCATGGTTTCCAACTAAACATGGAAGTTTGGATTCTGTAGACAGTTGCAGTTGCAGAAGGCTTTTATTACGGGTATGCTTCAAAATTGTGGTTTTCTTGGTCGTGTTTTCGAACACTTCTTTTTCATCTCAGAAAGAAAAAAGGAAAATATATTTTCAGGTTTAGTTTATTTAGCTTGAAGCATCCCAATAAATTAAAGTTTTATAAGAATTTTATTTAATTTTATTTTTTATTTTAAAGTAACATGAATTAAGAAACCTGCTTAGAACAGAGAAACTAACTAAAGCATAAATGCTGAGATATGAGCAACAACTTTCCAAGCATTGAATAAAATTTGGAATATTTTTTCCTTTGAGTTGTCTGTCCATGTTGATTCTGTTTTCTTGGCTTTTGCCTTTATGTTTTGTTTTATAATGTGTGTCTATTAATGTATGTTTGTCAACAAATTGAAAGTCCAGGTTCGTCGTATCTCANTCAAAAAAAAAAAAAAGAGACAAAATTTGCAGATTAAGAGCCTAGAGCAAGCGAGGACAAAATTTACTCACATACGAACACACAACCCACGACTCACAAGAGTACATCATCAAACCATTCAGCAAGAAGATTAATAAGTTGACAGATATTATTATTATTCCTCATTTTTGCAAGGCTCCCAAATATAAGTTTGACCATGTAAATGTACTCATTTAGCTATCACTACAGATTGATTATTTGTCTCATGTGAATCACAAGAACTTTGTAAACCTTTATTGTGACGACGATGAGCATTTCACTACCCGCTGGCAGCAAATAAGCCCACATCAACTTGACTTCCTAAGAAATATACCTAATGGATGACTATGCTGCTAAAGTGGGATTCTTTAGTTCTTTATCTAACTGAAACAGAACCAAAAAAAAAACAAAAAAATGTTATTCATTTTTTGATTGAAGCAATTTGTGGTTTGCAGATTGCTTATGTTGGTTTCTGGTTGGAACTCATGGTCAAATCCAAGATCATACAGACAGTTTTCTCAAACAGTATGAATGTCGATTGCTTCTTCTTCATTGCATTGATTTCTGCATCTAATTTGAGCTACGCCTTTGTGCCACTGGAATCGGCATAGGAACAAGAGGGAGATGGTTCTGACACCGTGCTGAAGTTTGTCGATGTTGTTCATCCCTGCCGACATCATTCATAATTTAAATCCAATTTTCTTTCTTTTTCTTTTTTGTGGTTTTTTGGCCCCTTCGATCGTTGTTCTGTTTTCCAACTGTTCAAGTAATTATTGCTTGCGTTACGATTGAATTTTGATTATACATCCTTATTAATTGAAGTTCTTATATGAACACTAAGTCTAAAAGTTCTTTTCGCTTGGTTTTGGTTGTCATAAAGGTTTCTATTTTATTCCTTTGAAGGGTGTTACTGAAGTTGAGTTTGAGATTTTTACTTTTTTGAGTTTTGATTTTTAAAAAGTTGGGAGCTTTCTTAATAATTTGGATTTGATCAAATTTAGTAGTTGATTTATTCTTGTCAATTGTGTACAGGTTATTCAATTATTCTTTGGTGTATATTCCTTTTAGGGATGCTAAAAGAAAAAGAAATATATTTGTAAATTATACTTGTGAACTAGTAGATGTAATTGCTTTGACTCTAGTTTTAGCTAGTTCTCCATTGTCATACATAAATTATGCTATTTTTGAGATCCACATCCCATTTCAAGTTCTATTGTAACGTCCCACTTTATTTTAAAAGATTTATCGAATTTATTTAATAAAAATCAGAGCTAATTTTTCGCAAATTTCGATTAAGTTTAAAATTCAAATGGCGCTACTTATTTTACCAAGAGCAATTTATCCAACACACAAAAAGATCAGAATGAACCTACACATTTACCAAGATTCAAAATAACAATAAATAACAGCATAAAACCCAAGTATTCAAATCCGTCCAACCCTTATCCAAATCAAACTAGTTCAGACATAATCAAATAAACCATAACAAGTTCATAAATGCGGAAGTAAATAACAGTCTTAAAAAGCAAGCCATCCACTCGCCTTGCCTCATCACCCGCCAACTGCTTAACCTGCATCCGTAATGAACAGATGGGAGTGAGTTACTCACACTATGCATATGAATAACATAACAATGGTATGGTCGCAGCATGAACATAAACAATAATCACAACATGTCTCATTTCCTAATCAAAATCACACCATTTAACCTTACTCCTGTGCACATTTATCGCTAGCCGCGGAACGGAGATTCATTACCTGAAGGCGGGAGTACGTGCCGCTGTAACGGACACGACCTTCCATATGGGCTTACGTACCTCACAAGGGTACGACCATATCAGGACTTTAAGGAGATTGCCACACAAGTGCACCTTACCGTAACTCGACGGGGACAACCGTACCGACGGCCGTAACAGCTCACATCGATAGGCTACATGTTCACATGCATACATATATCATACCAAATTTTTCACACAATTAAATCACACATATGCATAGATAATTTTAGAATAACAACCCACTTGGTAGTTCGGACTGATGATAACAAATTCAGAAAAGACGTGGGTCGAGGCTTGACTCCTCAAACACCTACATTAAGTCAAGATCCTACAATCAATATCTTGACTTAAATGAAAAACACAAATATATCTTGACTTAAACGGAAAACACAAATCGGACTTAGTCGAACTTGATTCGACTAAGTTGTTCGTGAAGTCCTGTGGACGTTGGAACACGTAGACTCGGTACAACACTCAACCAAACCACATATGGGAGTTCACATTAATTCAACTAAGGATTGACCAAGTCAAACATGCAAGACGGAAAACAAGTAGATTACAGATTTTAACTTTCAAAATCATATTTTAAAATTACTAACTATTAATCACATGAATTTAATTGATCAGGTTTCCCTATGAATTAAACTCTGAAATTTTAATCAAAATTACACCTCCCAGTAATTAGAAAAACCACCAAGTTTCAGCCTCAAATTCAAAGTACATTGTTTTATAAAATTCATACAATATAGCAGCAAAATCGAACATGAATTTACATTTAAAACCTAATGAACAAATCATGACCTGATAATTTAACATCACAGATTCTATAGCATGAGAGTGACAACATGTAAAAGTTTCAGCCCTGAACATTAATAGTACTAATTTTAAAAATTCACACAAGTTTTATAAGTTATCGAATTTAAATCAAAACCGAACCAAATTGACCTTTAAAAATTCTCATCTTTAAATAGCATGAATCTACACATAAAGTAAGCATCTTAGCCAAGTTTCAGAATTTTTCATCAACTAACCGATTTATAGTAATTAAAACAACTTTCTGCAGATTCAAAAATTAAATTATTAACCATACCAAATTCAGTCTAAAAATTCTAAGAATTTTAGACAGCATATAGACCTAACAGAGGCATAACATACTCAAATTTCAGCACATTTGAAGCACGAACCAATTTATTAAGCATTTAACATGATTTTGACCAGAAATCACTTTATTTATTAAAAATGGCTACATGCCTTTAAAAATTACGAAATTTTTACACAAGCCTGACAATCAACAGACGACATAACCCTCAAAATTTCAAGGTAATCCGAGCAGTGTGCATTTTTTAATAATTAAAACACTAAAACAGCGATAACCGAGCTCGACAACTTAACACATATTCCAACACAATAAATTCTCGCCCAAGGCCTTCCTATAAGACCAAGGGCTCGACATTGTTCCAGCATCCACCGACTTACGCGAGTTTCGAAGTCTCGTTCCATTTCTCATAATTGAAGAGATCCCCGAATACTTAAACGACACATAAAAATCACAATTTTCCACATGATATCATAGCGTGTATATTAAATCGCAAAGAGCACATCACGTCACGATTTAAACGAAACGGGATCGCCTATGTACCGTTCTCGGGAAAAGCTCGGAAAAACGGGACGAGAGGGACGAACGGCACGCGTCTCGCCGGAAAAAGAGGAGCAGCGGCGAGAGGGACGTCGGGTACGGACCTGCTGGTCGCGAGCTCGTCGTTCACTGAAGGGAGTCGCGACGTCGCTGGGGGCAGCTGATCGCGGCGGCGGGCAGAGGCTCGCCGGAAAAGCTTCGCGTGGAGGGAGAGATCGCCGGAAGTTGCAGGCGGGGTGCTCGTCGCGGAGGGCAACAGAGGGTCGTCGGAAGTTGGCCCACGGTGGTTCACGGCGAGCGGACGGTGAAAGGAGGGGGATGGTCGGATATCAGGCGAGAGGAGAAGAAGCGAAGAGGATGACGGATGATGGTCGCGATCTGTGGTGGCGAGAAAAAAGAACGTGAAAGGGAGAGAGAGAGCTTGAAGGTCTGTTGGTCGAGAGAGACAGAAATCTGTTTGAGAGAGGCTGTGCGAGGAGATTTATTTATTTATTTATTTATTTTTGACGAGGAAGAAGAATAAACGGGGCGCTACATCTATGCTCACAAGCTATGACCATGACTGTAAACTAATTCAGACATGCGCACAATTATTGAAAATAAGAAACTAATTATTACACAATCCATTTTATACGCCTCTTTCATTGCCTGAAAAAATAACTAAAAATTATAAAAGTAAAAGGAAAAAAAAACCAAAAATAAAAAATAAAAGTAGGCCAAACACAACCCAAAGGTGGGTGGTCTCACGGGGTGATGGGAATGTGATTCATAAAACACGAACAAATAGGGATTTTGCTTAACTAGAAAGTTGATAGGGTGTGCTTGGGACCCACCAATCTGTTCAGGATTGCAAAACACAGTATTTGGGAAAAGACTGTAAACTAATTCAATAAAAAACAATGAAATCCATCAAAGTACTGAGAAGTTGAAACAAAAAGAAAAACAGAAAAAGAGCCCAAAAGCTATCCTAGACAAAAGCACATACATAGGCATGCAATAAGATAAACAAGAAAGAACTCTACTCAGCAGCTGACCATGGCCCTTGAATAAAGGATGAATTTAAATGTATGTAAGTACGTATTTATATATGAGGAACAGAGAGAAGTGGTTGCTAACCTAAGCAGGTCGCCGATCTCAATTGAGCTCGTAAAACTCCATCAACGAAATTCCTCACACGTTCAACTGGAACCGCATAATCGAAGCCACTACTTGTAGCAATGACCACGCCAACCACATCTCCCGTAACATTGAAAACGGGTCCGCCTAATGATTGTATTGTCCATTTTCTCTTAGATTGACACTGGAACCCTTTTATCTCAAGAAATTGCAGGTTCTTATCAAGGCCATCAATGTGCTGAGCTAGTTTACGATGATTTATATTTACTTCGGATTTATCTTTTGACGTTGAAAGCAATGTCCCAAAGAGGAAAGAAAAGGAGAAATCCACCTGATGTGCCATTCCATAAATGTTGATACGTAGAGTTAAACCAACGTCCCCTTCAGCTAACTGTGCAATATGACCAAATTTTCGGTCAATCTTTAGAAGGGCCAAACCGGAATCCTTCGGAGCTCCACCTACTTTCTTGGCAGGAATGAATTGATTATCATTGAATCCTCGTACAGATATGGTTGATCCTCCAAACAATAAATAATCCGACGTAAGGATCAACCCATTTTTATGTACACTAAATCCTGTGGCTATAATCGTTTGTATAGCTGGGGGTTCATTTTCAATCGTCAGCTCCGACTCAACTTTCACCATCCACACGACATCTCTCATCTTGTGGAACAAACCCTCGAGTTGTGAAACCTCCTCTGACTCCATATCGCGAGGGTCCATAAAAAGTTATCTGTTAAAGCTTTCGTTGGGCTGTTAGAACATAAACAAATATCTGATTTTCCATAAAAAAAAAACAAATAACTCTGAAATTTGAAGACCGAAAAAAAAAATAAAAAAATAGAAGCACTAATTTTTCATAAAAAACAAAGAACTCTGAAGTTGAGCTGTTAGAACATAAACAAATATCTGATTTTCCATAAAATTCCATCCATATAAAAAACCACCAAATATTACAAAGTCGAGCAAATGAGGTTTCTGACAACAGCAACACAAATTAAAGTACATCTCGACAACAAAAGAGAACTAGGTTCTCTCTTGTTGCCTATATGCTGTTGTGAAGTTATACTCCATTTCCTTGTTAGTTTTTCATCTTCGAGTTCAGATTTAGACATTTAGTTTGATACTGAAACTTTCTTTTCAACTTCAAATTTCAACATTGTTGTACTATTAATGCCCCGAAGGGACCTTGTAAAAATATTTGAAGATTGAAATAAAAAAATAGAAGCACTGATTTTTCATAAAAAACAAAGAACTCTTAAATTTGAAGATNAAAAAAAAAAAAAAAAAAAAAAAAAAAAAAAAAAAGAAGAAGAAGAAGAAGAAGAACAATGGAAGCATTATAACTTGTTACCTTTCTTGCAATGTTGAAGCTCCACAAAACAGAAGAATGGCAACAATGGTATTGGAGGAGAAGAGTACTATACAGACTATACTGGGTGAAATGGTGAAGGACGTACCTCAGGTAATATTGCTGTAGCACTTGGGTGAAAAAGAAATATTTTTATTCAGCAAAACCTTGTTATAATCCAACAATATATGAAATTGCCCAGTTATTCCCATTGCCCTCTGTTTTATAAAGATAGTCGTGCCAAAGACATACAATAAATACACTGCAATAAAGGTTTGTACGACCCAATGGATAGAAGGAGAGAAACTGTCACAAAGTACTGAAAGTGATGTTGGAGAACTTGTGAATGCTAGTCATATGCTACCTGACGTAGGTAATTATTGTTGTAATTAGCGCATCTAACTTGCAAGGGGAAATTGCAAATTTGGTCCCATTAGATTGGGACGGTCGCAATTTTAGTCTCAAGATGCGCAATTTCAGTCTTTAACTAATTTTTGTTGCGCAATTGGTCCTAAATCTAACAGACCGTCAAGTCACCGTTAACCCTCAGGACTAAAATTGCGATCGTGGGACTAAATTTGCAATTTTCTCATATATGATATACATAAATTCAAATATATTTAAATTATTATATAAATTAAAAAACAAAATGGTAGTAAACATTGTTGAAAGAAAGTTTTTCGTCTAAGTTGACAAAATGGTAGTGAACACTGTAAAAAATAATTGACCAGTCCGATCAACCAATTCTGACAAGTTCATTAGGTACCAGTTCGTTCAAAGGAATCCAACTGTTTAGTTGGCCGATTCTTGATTCAACAGCTAGTTTGGCCCAGTTTTCAAAACAATGGTAGTTATATTATTTTTACTTTTATATAATTTTATAAAATTTTATTAAAAATTAAATTTTATTAACCCCTCTACAGTTATATTTTTATTTTTTATCAACCAATATAATTATAATAAAATTAAATAATAATTTTCTAAATATATTTATTATGTAATAAAAATATTTGAAATATAGAAACCATTGTATTGTAATGAGATTTTTTAATATAATAATAATATAAATTTAATATATTTAAATTTATATATATATATATATATATATAATATTTGAAATATAGAAAACATTCTACTAAAATTAAAATTTTTAATATATTAATAATAATATAAATTTAAGTTTACTTGAATTTAAATATATCAAATATATTTAAGTTTATATTTTTGTTATATTAAAATATATATATATATATATTAACTTATTTGAAAATATAAATATATATACATACAACTGACCAGTCCAATCAACCAATTTTGACTGGTTCATTGGAAACCACTTCTTTCAAAGGAATCCAACCATTTGACCGATTCTAGATTCAACATTTAGTTTAGCCCAACTTTAAAATAATAGTAGTTGATATTATTTTTATTTTTATTTTTATTTTAACTTTTAAATTTTTATTAACCTGGACTATTATATTTTTATTTTTTATCAATCAATATAATTATAATAAAATTAAATAATTATTTTTTAAAAATATTTATTGTATAATTAAAAATATTTTAAATACAAAAAACATAATAATATATATTCAAATATATTTGAATTTATATATTTGAATTTATATATATCAAATATATTTAAATATCTAGAAAACATTGTATAGTAATTATTATATGTTTTGTCTCAAAACTAAATTTTTACTATCAAATATTGTTATATACTCACGGAATGAAAATTGCAACAAAAAATAGTAGTAAAACTATTTTTTTGAATAATTGGGACTAAATTTGCAACAAAACCAATCTTATGGGATTATATTTGCAATTCCTCCCTTTTCAAACTAATGACCAACGGCCACGTGACTCACGCGTGACATATCCGTTCACTTTTTATGGTGTAGGATTAATTGCGCAACAAAAATTGGTTAAGGTCTGAAATTGCGCCTCCTAGGACTAAAATTGCGACCGTCCGACGGGATCAAATTTGTAATTTCCTCAACTTATCACTTCTAGAACAGATGCCTTATAATATTTCTACTTGTAAGTTTGGATGGGTATATCATCTGTCAGACTCTCAATGATTTGCTAGATACCTGTGTTGAACTTTGTGTAAATCTCAGAAATACTCTAGAACTTTTTACCATGGAGGAGGTTTCCTTTCAAAAATCACCATGCTTAAATTTACCCTGTTGACTTGTGAATATATTCTCTCTTTATTGTTCTCATGATGTTTAGCAATTT